AAATGACTTAGGAACCCCAGAACTTAACATCATGCAGCGCACTTTATCTAGTATGGTCCTATTCATTCTTTCTGCTACCCCGTTTTGCTGGGAAGTATAAAGAACCGTTTTGTGCCTTGTTATTCCACTTTCTTTACACATCCTATCGAATTCAGCATTACAGAATTCTAGGCCGTTATCTGTCCTTAAAAATTTGATCCTCTTGCTAGTTTGGTTTTCCATTTGTTTCTTCCAGTTGTTAAAGTTATGGAAGGTTTCAGTTTTGTCTTTCAATAGATAGACCCACACTTTCCTGGTGTAGTCATCTATGATAGATAGGAAATACCTATTCCCATCCGATGTGGGATTACTAGCAGGACTCCACAGATCAGAATGCACATATTCAAGCATGCTTTTAGCCTTATGCGTACTAGTGGAGAACGACACTCTATGGTGATTTCCGAGTACACAGTGATCACAGAACGATAGGTCAGACACACAGTCATTACCAAATGCACCTTTTTCATTAAGTAGCTTAAGTCCCTTAATGCCTACGTGTGCAAGCCTATTATGCCACGTATGTGTGTGATCGATTTTGGCGGAAGAAATAGAAGAGTTTAATCCTCTAATTACTTCCCCAGTAGTGATGTATATATCATTTTTCTTGATTCCCTTAATAGAGATTAACGCATCCTTCATCATTTTAAACATACCGTTTCCAAATTTACCAGTGAAGTTGTCTTTCTCAAGTCTTCCTACTGAAATCAAATTTCTAGATAATTCAGGAATGTATCTAACTTTCTTTAACATGTACACAAAGCCCGTGTTAAATTTTATCTTTATATCTCCAATTCCAGCAATTGTATAGGCAAAGTTATCACACAGAACTACTTGCCCATCATTAGATTCTTGCAATTTTTCAAACCAGTTCTTTTCAGACGTCACATGAAAAGACGCACCAGAATCTAATATCCATTCATGCATGTGAGAATTAGTAGTTAGATTCAATTCAGTAGTGTATGCGACTGGACTAGTGATCACATAGACTTCACCGTTTTCGGTATCGGAGGTAGAGGATAACACATTTACCTCATCTCTTTCCTTAACCTTTTGTTTTCCCCTTTCTTTATGACAGTCTTTTATAAAATGCCCTGTGCCTCCACAGCCATAGCATTTTCTAGCCTTAGTTCTAGACTTTGACCTAGGTCTACCATTCCCCTTCTTTTTCCAACTATTACTACTTGATTCGCCACTACTTTGGTATCCATCATGACTGACTTGCCTAAATTGAGTTTTACCTCGTATCATATGCAACTCTCCACTCCTCCTATCCTGTTTTTCAGCCCTCATTTCCATATCCTTACTCTTAAGAGAATCTACGACAATTTCAAGTGTTAACGTGTCCCTACCATACTTAATGACATTCTTAACTTCTTTGTAAGAGTCCGGGATTGAATTGAGTAAGATTATAGCCTTATAGGTCTCAGACACGGCTTCATCACAATTGACAATATCTTGCACCAATTTGTTAAATACATCTAAATTGTCGTCGAGATCCTTTGAAGGATCCATCTTAAAGCTGAAGAATCGTTCGAGTAGGTAGAGTTTATTCGGTGTAAATTTAAGCAAGTATAAGTCTTCTAGTCTTTTCCAAAGTTCTTTGATGGTTTTTAGTTTTCCCACTTTTCTTAAGACAGCGTCAGACAAGTGTAATATTATTGAGGTATAGGCAAGCTCATCGGCTTCCTCTTTTTGTTCTTTTGAGATGTCAGGTGCAAAATTGCCTTCGATGGCTTTTGACACCTTTTGTTGGACTAATATGTCTCTCATCTTTTGTTGCCAGATAGAGAAGTCCCCTTTACCGTTAAATATTCTCAAATCAAAATTATGTGTTGTCATTGGTTAACACACTAATTAAACCACACGAAGTAGTATTGGGAAGCGTGATGAGGTAATATCTTGTTAATTCTTAGCAAAAGTAACAATGAACCTAAATGCTACGTCCACCAAGAAATACAAAGCACTTTAAATCAAAAGAACAAGCACTCAATTAACGCAAGTAATCCTAGTTTTAGCACAAGCAATGGTTACCCCTTCACGGTAACCCCAAAACCTAACGATCACCCCACACGATGATCTTGCTATTGCTGAATTTAAATGGATTAAGCCAATTTACCAGAGCGGACCTATCTGAGTCCGTAGAGTGGAGAAAAACGAGCTTGCTGTTCAATTTCAGTCGGCGTCGCATCAGGGGCAAAATCGTCCAACTTTTTCTGTGTAACCTAAAACACAAAACAAAGTATATCAGCGCGTTCAGGAGATCGAAACAAGCAAGTTACCTGAAGACAGCTTCGTCGGACTGTCGCCCACGCACCGCCACCGTCGCCCACGCGCCGCCTCACCAGGGGCGCCTCGACCTGCTGGTAATGGGTATGGCCTTTGTTTGTCCAACCGAGCTTTGGTTTGTGAGTAATTGAAGAATTTCAGATTCGGGTGCAATGTTGAAAACGCGAAAATCAACCGATTTTGAGCCGGTTTTTGCCAACCAAGCTCTGATACTAGATGTTAGGATCTTCCTCTAGCTGCTCAAGGTGATTTCCGGGCTCAGTTAGCCTTTAAACACCGAATCAACACCAAAAAAATTGAAGAGACCGACCGGCGGCGCTGCTTGCTTCCTATGGTTGCTATTCTTCCTTTTGCTTGTTGTTTCCTCACTCACTTAGGGTGAATACCACACAGGTAAGGGTCACAAAGACACAAGCAAGAGGTAGAGAAGATCAATCAGTAGGATGCACAAAGGAGAAGAAGAAGGCAGCCACACTCTCTCTCGGGTTCTATCAAAAATCGGGACAAGTAGGAAGAAAGAGAGTTACCAATATATATAATAGTCCAATGACAAACTTAAGGTAAGTTATACATATGGTAAGTAGGCTCGACTAGGGTTATAGCCCAATAGCACACTAACAAGCCACAAAGGTTTATTAGCCATCCAATAGGTAAAACCACGTTAAGCCGGGTCATCCCATTATTCGGTGTTGATTTATCGTTCAGTCATTCATGTCGACTGATAAAACTGGTTGTCATCATCGTCCGAGAGGTCGTTTGACAACAGATGTCTTACAGTGAGAAATACAAAGGTTGAACAATTGAACGAAGAGAATTGCAGGTCAAGTCAGAGACTCGATCACAATTTTTTGATAATGCCGACCTAGTATGGAATTTTCAGCAATTTCCAATGAATTACGATCTATTAGTGTTTTGATTCAATTAGCAACAAATTACTTCTCTCCATATTTCACCTAAATATTGGCTTCTCCTTTTGTACCCTATTCTTTGCGAGTTAGAGATGAGTTGACATGTTGTAGTGTCGTGCCATGTTGAGATAATATTAAGACAATACTCTTTGGCATTGCACCATAAACAACTTTAAGAAAATTGCAAGTTTGAAATATATAATAAAATTTTCAGAAATAGATAGTTAAAAAATTGTTACTTAGCAAATGGGTGACTATATACTCACACACATGCGACCAATTTACAAAGAAATAAATGTTCAACAAGTAAAGGTACATAAAATGGACTTATTTATAAACTTCGAGTTTCACCAAAGGAGTGGTGAACTAAATCACCAAAACTGTGCCATGAGTTTGGATTCAATACATGTTAAAATAATGGAAAATCACAGACATGTGAGAAGAAGATGAAGTGTAATAATACAGAGAACCCATTTCAGGAAGTCAATTTTCACTCTTACAGCACAAAATCAGCTTCTGAGGCGCCACGAGAAATCGAGACCTACTTTCCACGAAAACGAAAAATGGGCCTGATTAAGGCCTTCACAATTCTCCTCTTCTCATGGTTTTTGCTGGCTTAAGCAGAAAGATCTACTTATAATGTCCACATGGACAAACCTTTGATACCTAAGGCTTTTTCCAGTAACCATTATTGGTCTTCAATCCATCAAATCAGTTGGATTCACCTCATTGGATGGTCAAAATCATTCACCAAAACTTATCTATACATATGATCATGCCTTCCATGGATTCAGTGCAGTTATGTCCACTGATGAATTGGAAGCTTTGAAGAAATCACCAGGATTCCTTTCAGCTAATCCCGATGGTATTGTGAGCTCCGACACCACGCATATTTCAAGTTTCTTTCTCTTGATACTGCCACAGGAATTTGGCCAGCATCTGAGTATGGTAAAGATGTGATTACTGGGGTGGTTGTTGACAACAGCATATGGCCATAAATTGTTAGGAAAAATAAAAAAAGAAAATTAGAAATACTGTTGAAATTATATAAATAAAATAATGGAAAGAAACATTACAATAAATAGAGTAACAATAAAATAGAGGAAAAAATGATTGTTCATGCAAAAGCGGAAATGGAAGGAACCGAGGCCTGTATTGCTCACAGTTTTCGTATAACAGATTCGCCTTGCACGATGATGCTAGAGGACTAATGGCGTCCGTAATGACTAGTTTTATTATTGTAATTGCATGTAACTTTGTGTAATCTTGGCATAATCCTAGAAGCAGTTTATACTGCATAGTTTGAATTATTGAAACTAGTTCTTATGACATTTCATTGATCTCTAGTTTAAAGAAAACAGGGTCTGGTTAAATAAGCACACAGTGAGGTCTCCCTTTTTTCATGTAATCCATTTTAAGAAGCTCATGTAGACTGAATTTTTTAAGCCATATAATCCAATTATAAAAGAAAATTGGGCATGCTAAAGAAATAGTAAATGAAATCTGTTGAATTTTTTAAGCCATATAATCTCAGTTGTTAATATTCTTTATTTTTCTCAAATTAAAGATTTCTGCGATCCCTATCTTATTAACAAAAAGAAAAATTGACTGATAGATTTAGAAAAAACATGTTTATAGTAAAAAGAGTAAACTCAGACAAATATCTCCACGGTATATGACTTAATGCAAAGGGATACACAAGCCAATAACTAAGGCGTGAAAATTCAAATGATTTAATATTACATTACACCTACCAAGTATCACAGCATTCCATCAGGCTTTTTCCTCCTAAAAATTAAATATGCAATTAATTATTTTTGCCCTACACTTGCAAGTAGGTTCAATCATTAACCAAAATTTACTTTTATCAGCAATAAATCAGCTTCTGAGGTGCCACAAAAAAACTACTTCCCAAAATAAGAAAAATGGAGCTGATTGAGGGCTTCACAGTTCTGTTCTCATGGTTTTTGCTGGCTTCAGCAGAAAGATCAACTTATATTGTCCCCATGGATAAATCTTTGATGCCTAAGGCTTTCTCCAGTCACCATTATTGGTACTCTTCCACTCTTCAATCCATTAAATCAGTTGGACCAACCACATTAGGTGCTCAAAATCCTTCACCAAAACTTCTTTATACATATGACCATGCCTTTCATGGATTCAGTGCAGTAATGTCCAAAGATGAATTAGGAGCTTTGAAGAAGTCACCGGGTTTCCTTTCGGCTTATCCCGATAATATTGTCACGCCGGACACCACCCATACTTACAAGTTTCTTTCTCTGAATACTGCCACGGGTATATGGCCAGCATCTGAGTATGGTAAAGATGTGATTATTGGGATTATTGACAGCGGAATTCGGCCAGAAAGTCCGAGCTTTAAAGATGAAGGAATGACAGAAATTCCTGCTAGATGGAAGGGAATTTGCCAAGCAGGTGAAGGGTTCAATTCTTCATTGTGTAACAAGAAACTCATTGGAGCAAGATACTTTAGTAAGGGAGTTCGGGAAGCAAATCCTGGGGATACAATAACAATGGATTCTGCAAGGGATGATTCGGGTCATGGCACCCACGTGGCGTCCACAGCAGCTGGAAACTACGTTGATTGTGTTTCATTCTTTGACTATGCTCCAGGAACGGCGAGAGGAGTGGCTCCACGTGCTAGGCTTGCTGCATATAAAGTCATCTGGCGTCAAGGAAACCTTGAATCTGATTTTCTCGCAGGTATTGACCAGGCTGTGGCTGATGGAGTTGATATACTGTCGATTTCTCTGAGTAACGGTAGGACTAATTTGTATGAGGATCCTATTGCCATAGCTGCCTTCGGTGCTACAGAGAAGGGAATCCTTGTTTCTACTTCCGCAGGAAACCGTGGTCCAAGTTTCGCAACTTTAATCAAAGGAATCCCCTGGGCAGTGGTAGTGGCATCAGGAACTGTTGATCGCTGGTTTGCTGGGACCATAACCCTAGGCAATGGTCTGTCCATCACCGGATGGAGCCTGTTTCCTGCAAGAGCCACAGTCAGAAACTTGGCTCTTACTTACAATGTGACCTTATCTGCCTGCAATTCAACTGAATTATTGTCTGAAGCCCCTGAAGGTGGTATCATCATATGTAACCAATCTGATGTAAAAACAGACTTCTATTTCCTATGGCAGGATCTGTTGAAGTCCAACATTCGTGCAGCTATAATCATTAATGAAGTTACTAGCATACATCAATCTGCTTCTTTTCCTTACCCTGGAGTAGTAATTACTCCGAGAGATGTGAAAGATGTGATCAATTATGCATCTAACAGTGCTGACCCACGAGCAAGCATCGAGTTCCAACAAACAATCTTGGGAACAAAGCTCATAGCTGCTCCAGCCTTAGCGGAATCCTCATCAAGAGGTCCTGCACGAAGCTATCCGGGCATCCTAAAGCCTGACATAATGGCACCTGGAGTGTTAATCTTAGCAACTTACGATCCTTATGCTAATGCAGCAAGAATTAATAACAACATATTCTTGGCCAGCGACTACGCACTCTTGTCAGGTACATCGATGGCTTGTCCTCATATATCTGGAATTGTTGCGCTCCTAAAAGCTGCGCATCCCGATTGGAGTCCTGCTGCTATTAGATCTGCCATGATGACCACTGCAAATCCACTTGATAATACACAAAAACCCATCAAAGACACAGGAAACAATAATAATGATGCTCCACCACTTGAAATGGAGGCAGGGCAAGTTGATCCAAATCGTGCTCTTGATCCAGGTCTCATTTACGATGCCACCACACTCGACTTCATAAATCTTGTTTGTTCCATGAATTTTACTCATGAACAAACTCAATCAATCATAAGGTCAAGCTACAATTGTTCAAATCCATCATCTGACCTGAATTACCCATCGTTCATTGCTGTGTTTGATCCTGAAGAAAAAAGAAGTACACTAACTCAGAAATTCCAGAGGACTGTCACCAATGTTGGGGATGGCGCAGTGACATATAAAGTTAAAGTTCAAAAAACGGGGGATTCTACCATCACAGTATTTCCAGAGACATTGGTGTTCCAAAAGAAGTATGATAAGCAGAGTTATTCAGTGACCATACGTTATAAGACTCAGGGACCGTTTGATTACGGTTCAATCACTTGGATTGAGAAAAATGGAAAGCACACGGTACGGAGTCCATTTACTGTCACTTCAAAGCCATATGATTAGGTTTACAGTTGCAATTTGCATGTAACTTTGTGTAATTATCCAATTCCCATTATCAGTCCAGTTCATTCTCATAATAATAATCAATCATCCAAATTTATTTAACGATATCTCTTCAGTAGGATTAGACCTATTTTCTTATACGAAACCCAAATACATCCATCGAGAGAATGCATTTCCTCAAAAAGAATTTATGAAGATTAATGCACAAAGCATGGAGGTTCAGGAATATTCTTTAAATTTATCCATAATTATTTATTATTTTGTATTTGCTAATAATACTTTTCTAAATATACTTTTGTTCATTAATATTTGTTTAAATAAAAAAAAATTATATGGAGGATTCTATTTGTCAAAATGTAAAATATGTAGGTGACCTCTCTTTTAATAACAAACTGGTGTAAAACAACTTATAAATTTAGACAATTATTTAATCCAAAAAGTTATTTACAAGCTAAAAAATAAATTTAACTTAATTAATTTGACAAATGTCACCACAAAACATGATTGAATCGAAAGGGACACGCGTGCTAATAATATCTAAAGGTAAAGGTGCCAATTCAAATGATATGATGATGTTATTCGCATTACACCTACCAAGCATTCAAGCTGATTTCTTTTCTTTGATTTAAAAATATAAGAAATTAAGTTATTTTTGCCCCACACTTAATATTTGGGACCATTTTGATATCAATTTCAAATTAAGATCCAATATACGCCATAACTGTGATTAATTTGTCGAACTTGGCTTTACTATTAGACTTTTCGGAAATCTGGTTTGCAGCTAACCTAAGAAATTTAAATTTTTGTAAAGCCACTCGAATGTGGACTCAGACACAAATATGCCAAAACTGAAGCAGAAAAATAAGCCATCATTGATTTATATGTAGTATTAGGGCTACTGTCCTATTGTTCAATGAAATTGGAATTCATTTTTCTTCGATGGACCAATAGGAAAATTATTTTGTGATTATGATTATCACTCTAGATGAATAACATTCCTCTTCATTTCAAGTTGTTTATGTTGTTATCATAGAATGAGCTTCTGAGATACCATAAAGATCTCCGTTACAGAAAAAGAAAAACAGGGTTGATTAATGCTCTTCCTGTCTCCTCTGCTCGTGTCTACTTATATTATCCACATCGACAAATTATTGATGCCTATAATCAACTGACTTGAGGTAATCGGCCTAAAATTCACTACAGGAATCATCTTAGTCGCTTAATGGAGAAGGACTTACATTTAGATATAAAAAATTTGATGAGCTTAAAAATATTATAAGATATGAAAAATTTATGTATACTCAAAACTTATTGGTAGTGATATTTAGCATGTCCTTTATCATAAAATAAGGTTTGGAGTCCTAGTTACAAAGGATAAGTGACATTTTACACACATGGATCACTTATATAATTTAGTCCGTGTTAACTTGAACTGAGTATGTGGGAAGGTTTACTGATTATTGATTGTGCTTGTGAATGTTATCAACTGCATATTTTGAGTTATTGTATATTAATGTTAAATTTTATTTTATTTTATATATATATATATATATATATATTTTTTTTTTATTATTTTTTTTAATCCCTTTGTCATTTGTGACAAAAGGGGGAGAGTGATTATTTTGATGGGGGTGAGGATATAGTGGAGAGACTATATCAATATCATCTATATCATTGTATGATAATGTGCCTATATTGCTATATTTCCTATACCACGCACTTTTACACTTAGTATCGTATAGTTGAGTTAGGTTGGTTAGGGTTTGAGTTCGGAATAAGGAAAGAAAAGACGCTACAATTTCACCTACCTATCGCTTGGACATTGCTAGAGTGACAAAAACAAAAACCCTATCGCTCACCTATCGCCCAAATCTCGCAGGAGTGACAGTAATATATGGAAAATCATAGTTTACATTTTTGAAGAGTTTTATGTGATCCAAACTACCCAATTGTCTTCAAGTATAAATACCCAATGCCTTGAACGAAATTTGTGTAGTTTTTCATTGAGTTGCATCACCACATTATTCCTTGAAGAATCGAGAACACAATCCATTGGTGAGATCATTCAATTCATTCTTGAATTCATACAACCACGTTGAGGAAAACATCAAATTCATTAAATCAAAAACACCTTTAGGAATGTACTTTTTCAATTGAACTTCAGAGGCTCATGAAGATTGAGAGGGGTTGGACTACAAGCATAGAAAGAGTACAAAAATTGGTCATTTTTGGTGATCCACTTGGAAGAGATAATTGTTGGATATTGGGAGCTAGTGGTTTCAACGGGATCTTAGATATTACAAGAAGTAAATAAGGAAATCTAGTGGAGTTGGCTATGCAGTATCTAACTGTAAATTCATATTTTCTATAGTGGAGGTAACTGGTATGATCCCGAAGTTTTTATCCAATTGGGTTTCTCCGTCAACATATTTAGTGTTATTTACTGTTTTCTTATTACAAACAGCTACAATTCTATTTAGGATAATTGGACTGTTTGATTAACCATCTAGAAACAATTAAAAATTGACTTATTGCTTTTAATTATGTTAATTCCGGGCGAGAGGTCAAAGTTAATTAGTAATCCAGATCTTTTTATTACTGAAATAGTAGTTTGAACTGGCCTACTTTAATTCGTCGTAACTTTTGTTACGATTGGTCATGAGCACTTCGAAATGGCATTAAGAATACAATGTTTCGACTTCATTTGACGTTCCATAGTGAATGCATCAAAGTAGATCGTAGAATGGCCAAAAAAAAGGGGAAAAAAAAATAAAAAGGAAAGAAAGAAAGAAAAAATTTTGAAAGGTAATTTGACCCCACATGACTCATGTGGATCCGCCCCTATGCCGACACGCAGGAAAATATAAATGGCCTATTATAAAGTTTCAGGTCCAATAGCTGTCCTTTTCATTATTAAAAACGAACCAAACAAAGCTCACACATTGATTGTAACGAGGTTTGATTCTTAACAGTTCAAAGTATTATTGTTAATAGAAAATGACACAACAACGTCCGAAGAAGATAAGGTGTACTTTGACAATTCATTTCAAGTCGCCAGTGTTCGCCATTTACTATCATAAAATGAGCTTCTCAGATAGCAGAAACAACTCCTTTCCAGGAGGAAAAAAAAAGGAAAAAATGAAAATGGGGCTGATCAAGGCCTTCACAATCCTCTGCTCATGGTTTTTACTGGCTTCGGCAGAAAGATCTACTTACATAGTCCATATGGACAAATCTTTGATGCCCAAGGCTTTTTCCAGTCACCGTTATTGGTACTCTTCCACTCTTCAATCCGTTAAATCAGTTGGACTGACCTCATTAGGTGCTCAAAATCCTTCACCAAAGCTTGTATATACATATGACCATGCCTTTCATGGATTCAGTGCTGTGCTGTCCACAGATGAATTGGAAGCTTTGAAGAAGTCAACAGGGTTTCTTTCGGCTTATCCAGACGGTATTGTCATGCCTGACACCACGCATACTTACAAATTTCTTTCTCTCAATACTGCCACAGGCATATGGCCAGCATCTGAGTATGGTAAAGATGTGATTATTGGTATTATTGACAGCGGTGTCTGGCCAGAAAGTCCGAGCTTCAAAGATGATGGAATGACAGAAATTCCTGCTAGATGGAAGGGAATTTGCCAGCCAGGTGAAGAGTTCAATTCTTCAATGTGCAATAAGAAACTCATAGGAGCAAGATACTTCAATCAGGGAGTTCAGGAAGCAAATCCCGGGCTTACCATAATAATGAATTCTGCAAGGGATGATTCAGGTCATGGCACACATGTGGCGGCCACTGCAGCTGGAAACTACGTTGATGGTGTTTCATTCTTTGGCTACGCTCCAGGAATGGCGAGAGGAGTGGCTCCACGTGCTAGGCTTGCTGCATATAAAGTCCTCTGGAATGAAGGAAACCTTGAATCCGATGTTCTCGCAGGTATTGACCAGGCTGTGGCTGATGGAGTTGATGTACTGTCAATTTCTCTGAGTTATGGTAGGACTAATGTGTATGAAGATCCTATTGCCATAGCTGCATTCGGTGCCACAGAGAAGGGAATCTTTGTTTCTACTTCAGCAGGAAACAGCGGACCAGATTTCGGAACTTTAATAAAAGGAATCCCCTGGGCAGTGTTAGTGGCTTCGGGAACTGTTGATCGTTGGTTTGCCGGGACCTTAACTCTAGGGAATGGTTTGTCCATCACCGGATGGAGCTTGTTTCCCGCTAGAGCCACAATCAGAAACTTGACTCTCACTTACAATGAAACCTTATCTGCCTGCAATTCAACTGAATTACTGTCTGAAGCCCCTCAAGGTGGTATCATTATATGTAACCAATCTGATGAAACAGTAGACTTCTTTTTCCTGTGGCGGTATCTGTCGGAATCCAATGTTCGTGCAGCCGTAATCATATCCGAAGATACTGGTATACTTCGATCAGACACTTTTCCTTTCCCAGGAGTGGTAATTACCCCCAAAGATGCGAAAGATGTAATCAACTACGCATCTAAGAGTGCTGACCCACTTGCTAGCATTGAGTTTCAACAAACAATCTTGGGAACAGAGCCCAGATCTGCTCCAGCAGTATCGGGATCCTCATCAAGGGGTCCTGGACGAAGCTACCCAGGCATACTAAAGCCAGACATAATGGCACCAGGAGTGTTAATCTTAGCAGCCTACTATCCTTATACTAATGTTGCAAGCATTGGTCACAACATATTCTTGTCCAGTGACTACACACTCTTGTCAGGTACATCAATGTCTTGTCCTCATATATCTGGAATTGCAGCCCTTCTCAAAGCCACACATCCCGACTGGAGTCCTGCAGCTATTCGATCCGCCATGATGACCACCGCAAATCCACTTGATAACACTCAGAAACCCATCAAGGACATGGGAAACGATTATCAAGTTGCTACGCCACTCGACATGGGGGCAGGACAAGTTGATCCTAATCGCGCTCTTGATCCAGGACTCATTTATGATGCTACCCGACAAGACTACGTAAACTTTGTTTGTGCGTTGAATTTTACTCGAGAACAAACTCAAACTATCGTACGATCAAGCTACAGTTGCTCAAATTCATCATTGGATCTGAATTATCCATCTTTCATCGCTCTTTACGACATTGAAGAAAAAAGAAGTGCATTGAATCAAAAATTCCACAGGACTGTCACAAATGTAGGAGATGGTGTTGCTACATACAAAGTCAAAGTTAAAAGACCAAAGGATTCTACCATCACTGTATCACCAGAAACATTAGTCTTCCAAAAGAAGTATGAGAAGCGAAGCTACTCTGTGAGCATTCATTATAGGAGTTACAGCAGGACTGTTATTAACGATGGTTCACTCACTTGGGTTGACGAGAATGGCAAGCACTCGGTGAGGAGTCCAATTGTGGTTACTCGACGAGTCTTTAATGAGTAGGTTTTATGGCATTATAACGATATGTATCTTTCATCATTTTAGTAGAACATAATCCTATTCCAATTCTTAAAACTAATGCCAACTACAGGAAACATTGGTATGGCTAAATTAAAAGTGCATGGATTATATTAAAATTTGAAAAAAAAAAAAAATCTTCATTTTACCCATGCATTTGTTCACGAAAATGCAATATGTCACTAATCAGGATATATAATCAGATGAATGACGAGCTAAATAGAAGTTCCTGGCGAGCTAATAAATTTACACTCATTTCAAGCCATTAATCGACTGTGTAATAAACTTTCACGGAGTTCTTGTATTTGAATTCTTTCTAATTATAGAAAATACGTGTTATTCATTACATTTAAGACAATCGCTTTATAATTTCTTTTCTCAGTTGCTAAAAGGAATTCTTTTCTATATTTTCCATTATAATGATCTATAAATGGCCTTATGATTCTGTCTTTATAAAGTGACTTCCGGGAGTGACTTTGAATAAATCTCCTTCTCATTTTTGAATAATGCTCCTTGGACAGGGTGATGACAAGGATGGGGGTGATAGGATTAGGATAGGAGAAAAAATGTATGTACAGAGGGGGGACTACCGAGTCGTGTCCCCCTTCTCACATAACACGTGGGTCCCGCGTGTATTAAATAATGCAAAGCCGTGGCCCCCATCTCTTATTGTGAGTAGTAGGTAAAAGATTAAATAAAAAAATTCGGTATGTGTACCATGATCCGATAGGGAAAAAATAAGATACAGTGATTAGAATTTATTTTTATTATTTTTTTCAAATTGTCCAATCATGTATTGATACGTGTCCCTATATCATTGAGCTGAACCTATCACTATAGCAAGATTGTTCATTTTTTAGAAAGATTCAATGAAAAGTATTGAATGAGGTTAGATAATGACTCGTTTGAACAGATCAATCTTGAAATCCGTATACTCATTTTTTAATCTTAATTGGATTGAGTTGCTTGTTAGAGCTTCATAATTTCCAATATCATGTTAAGACTTGTAGTTCTATCTTAAGAGTTCAATCTTATTAAAAGTAGTTCAATCTCTTATAAAATAGTCTATGTTTTCATCTTTATTAAATGTCGTATTTTATCCCTTAATACCTTTCTCTGTTAATATAAACATAAAAATCACCTAGGGAAGGACCTCATAAAGAACTATATATATTCCAGGAAAAAAAAAAGAAAAAAAGAAAAGAGTCTAAGGTGTGAAAATTCGTATGATTTGATGATGACATTACACCTACACAATGTCCCGGCTGTGTTTTTTGTTTTAGTTTAAGTATTGGGAATTAAGATAAGTTTGCACCCACACTTGCAAGTTGGTTCCATTATTGTTGTTGACTATTTTTTATCTTCGAATTAGGACCCAAAATACAAATTAATAATCTACTAATTGATCTGAACCCAAGACTTCTTTTTTCCATGTTGAAAGAATCTCGAGGCATCGTTTTTGCAGCTAACAATTTAAGAAAGAACCGAGCCGGGCCCGAAAACACACAAACATTGGGGTGTGGGAATTTATGGGATAATTGTTTAATGAGGTAGGATCCACTGCATGTGAGGAATCTATAAAACGCTCGTAGATTGACCGTTTACGCCCATCAAAATCCTTTAAAAATGGCATACGCTCAAATCTGAGACAAAGTTAACTTTAAGTAGGCATCCTTTTCATTATTTAAGACGACCAAATTTAACTCGAGTCTTAAATGAAAACAGTACTATTAAGTTCGATTCTTAACGGCACATGGAATATATTAAATGATGAAAAATGACACAGCCATTTGAAAAGAAGATAAGGTCTAATAATTCAACAAAATTGTAAAGAACTCATTTCAAGCAACCAATTTTTAGTTTTATTATCATAAGATCTGCTTCTGAGGTACCTGAAAAGAACTTCTTTCTGGAAAAGGAAAAATGTGCTTGATTAAGGTCTTCAATGTCCTCCTCTGCTCATGGTTTCTGCTGGCTTCAGCAGAAAGATCTAATTATATTGTCCACATGGACAAATCTTTGATGCCTAAAGCTTTTTCCAGTCACCATTATTGGTACTCTTACACTCTTCAATCCAGCAAATCTGTTGGACTCACCTCATTAGATGATCAAAATCCTTCACCAAAGCTTGTTTATACATATGACCATGCCTTTCATGGATTCAGTGCAGCAATGTCCGAAGATGAATTGGATTCTTTGAAGAAGTCGCCGGGTTTCCTTTCGGCTTATCCTGATGGCATGGTTACGCCTGACACCACACATAGTTACAAATTTCTTTCTCTCAATACTGCCACAGGTATATGGCCAGCATCTGAGTATGGTAAGGATGTGATTATTGGGGTTGTTGACTCCGGCATATGGCCAGAAAGTCCAAGCTTTAAAGATGACGGAATGACAGAAATTCCAGCTAGGTGGAAGGGAATTTGCCAGGCAGGTGAAGAGTTCAATTCTTCATTGTGTAATAAGAAACTCATTGGAGCAAGATACTTCAATCAGGGAGTTCGGGAAGCAAATCCCGGAGTTACAATAACGATGAATTCTGCAAGGGATGATTCAGGTCATGGAACCCACGTGGCATCCACCGCTGCTGGAAACTATGTGGATGGTGTTTCATTCTTCGGCTACGCTCCAGGAACTGCAAGAGGAGTGGCTCCACGTGCTAGGCTTGCTGCATATAAAGTCCTCTGGAATGAAGGAAGCTATGAATCTGATGCTCTTGCAGGAATTGACCAGGCTGTGGCAGATGGTGTTGATATTCTGTCAATTTCTCTGAGTTATCGTAGGACTGATCTATACGATAATCCAATTGCAATAGCTGCTTTTGGTGCCACAGAGAAGGGAATCCTTGTTTCCGTTTCAGCAGGAAATCGTGGTCCAAATTTTGCAACTTTACTCGAGGGAATACCCTGGGCAGTCATTGTTGCTTCAGGAACTGTTGATCGTTGGTTTGCTGGGACCTTAACTCTTGGAAATGGTTTGTCCATCACTGGATGGAGCTTGTTTCCTGCTAGGGCCACGGTCCGAAACCTGAGACTCACATACAATAAGACATTATCTGCCTGCAATTCAACTGAATTATTGTCTGAAGCCCCTGAAGGAGGTATCATCATATGTAACCAATCTGATGAAACAGTAGACTTCTTTTCACTGTGGCGGTATCTGTCAGCGTCCAATGTTCGTGCAGCTATAATCATATCCGAAGATACTAGTATACTTCGATCAGATACTTTTCCTTACCCAGGAGTGGTAATTACCCCCAAAGATGCGAAAGATGTAATCAACTACGCATCTAATAGTGCTGACCCACTTGCTAGCATTGAGTTCCAACAAACAATCTTGGGAACAGAGCCCAGACCTGCTCCAGCTGTATCAGGATCCTCATCTAGAGGTCCTGGACGAAGCTATCCAGCCATTTTAAAGCCCGACATAATGGCACCAGGAGTGTTAATCTTAGCAGCCTACTATCCTTATACTAATGTCGCAAGCATTGGTAACAACATTTTCTTGTCCAGTGACTACACACTCTTGTCAGGTACATCAATGGCTTGTCCTCATATATCTGGAATTGCTGCACTCTTGAAAGCTGCACATCCCGATTGGAGTCCTGCAGCAATTCGATCTGCCATGATGACCACTGCAAATCCACTTGATAATACAAGAAAACCCATCAAAGATATGGGCAGCGACTATGAAGTTGCTACACCACTTGACATGGGGGCAGGACAAGTTGATCCTAATCGTGCCCTTGATCCAGGTCTTATTTATGATGCCACCCTGCTAGACTATGTAAACCTAGTCTGTTCCATGAATTTTACTCGTGAACAAACTCAATCAATCTTAAGATCAAGCTACAATTGCTCAAATCCATCATCAGACCTGAATTACCCATCATTCATTGCTCTGTACAATGTTCAAGAAAATACGACTACATTGACTCAAAAATTCCAGAGGACTGTTACAAATGTAGGGAATGGTGCAGCAACATATAATCTTAAAGTGAAACAGCCAAAGGAATCTACTATCTCAGTGTTCCCAAAAAAGTTGGTCTTCCAAAAGAAGTACGAGAAGCAGAGCTATTCTCTGACCATCCGTTATAGGAGTTACAGTAGGACTGTTATTAATGATGGTTCGCTCACTTGGCTTGAGGAAAATGGCGAGCACACAGTAAGGAGTCCTATTGTGGTCACTCAACGAGTCTTTAATGACTAGTTCTATGGCTTTTCTGTGATCATTTTTTGTTTGCATGTAACTGCGTAATCTTGTCATAATCCAATAAGAATTTTAGGCTGCATAAATCGAGTTTATTACCATTTCCAATAACTGTGTAATCTCGTCATAATCCAATAAGCATTGGCAGTGATCAATGATGATTTTACTCCTACAAGATTTCATTCCATTCAGAAATGTTATTTATTTTCTTAATTCAAAATATGCAAGTTTATTAGCTTTTTTGCTCCATAATTGAAATTTGATTCACTTTTTCACCAGCAACTTTTTGTTGTCAACGTCTGGGACATTAAAAAAAAGTTTTTTTTTTTTAATAGATAAAATTCGAATATAAAGATACTTATCTCAACAAAATTTTACACATCATATAGTAGTTCTTTCTTCTGTCTTTGTTTCCTTCCATAGAAAGTAGGCAACAAACTTGTCTCATGTGTCAGCACAAATTCACAGTTTCTGTTTAGAATTCTTTTCAAATAGTTCTCTTCTGTCATTTCTAAATTCCAATGGCTCACACTCCACAATATTTGCAGGCCAAAATGTCATATGGAATGACTGATTGGAGTTTTGCAATAGAAAAATTTCACAGAGCAATATGCATATCTTTCTTTGCAGCCTCAAGCAAGCTCTTGAATTAAACAAGAACCCTGAAAGGCTATAGCTGTGCACTATAGGCTCTGTCTACATAATATGTCCTTTTTCTTCTCTTCATGGTCTCGAGACTTTTCAGGGGGGAGTACACTGCCCAAGTTTGATTACTTACACAGTTACGCAGGATACTTGATCCATTATAACCAGCAGATTAAATAAATAAGGAGTAAGCTATGTTTGAAGAAGATATAGTAATTAAAGAAAACAAGAGAAGTCACTACAAGCAGCCACTTTTTCTATAACACAATCAACTTACAAGGAACAATGATGATTTTAAAAAAAAATTGAGGATACACTAATCTTTTTCTCTTCTCAGGCTACAGAAGAAACTCTACTTATTTGTGTATCTGGACAAGACTTTAATGTCCAAGGCCTTTGCTAGTTACCATGACTGGTACTCTATCTATCAGTCAGTTTCAAATCACCGGACACGCGTAAGTTGTGCCAAAGCTAGTCCATACCATTGATTACATGCTGTTACCACAACTGATAATGAGTGCACTTGTAAATTCCTTCTCTCAACCACCAATATGGTCAGCATTTTAATAAAGTATGTGGTTAACTGTGTTATTGGCTTTGATTTCTACGGGAAAAGTTGAAGCTTTAGAGATGATGATATGGCTGGCCTGGAATTCCTGCATATGTGGAGTACTGGCCGGCAGTGAAGATTTCATTTCATCATTATGTAATGTGGAACTATTAGAAAAATCTGTTGTAATTAGCGGGTTCTACCTCCAATTCTGACCTCAAAATAATATTTTTGCTTCGCTAATTGTGTTCTTGTGTCTGAGTCTGCAATGCTCCAGAATTTTTAAGTCCTTTTAATGTGGTATAAATACTCCAGATGTCAATTATATGTTAGGAAAACATCGCTGTGCTTACTAAATTGTGAAGGACTAAATTAAAAAATTTGAAAGTTCAAGGACAAAAATACGAATATGCGGAAACTTCCTGTTTAAATCAAATAGCCTCGAGAGTCACTATAAGTATGATTTGGAATCTAAGCCTTGGAAAAGCATTTGAGAAGTTTTTGGGCAAGTTCAAGATGTTTTGAGAACACAAGGCAAAATCGTCGTTTTACCTATGAATGATTTAAAGGATTATAGAAGTCTTAAAATAATATTTGTTGAAGGTGCACACTGAAAATTATTTGAATTTTCTAGAGTAAGTTTGAGATTTTTCGGAAAGTTAGAATCATCGTAGTTAATTTGAGTTTGCAGACTTTAAGATATAAAAAAATCAATGAAAAATGTACTGTTCCAACTCTTCAAGCTCGTATTTTTTTGACTTTGGTAAGAAGGTCAAATGTTGATTTTTCTGTATTCTTCCATGGCTCGATTTTTATGTGGTGAAGGGATTGTTTCTAAAATTTCCATCTGAGATGAGGATCGAATTCTTACCGTTTATAAAGAGTCATTTGGTGAAATAAATGGTCATAGTTGGGTTTTAGTGGGGAAATGGAAGGTGTAAATTTCACCTTAATGCACATAAGTGATTTCAATTATTTATTTACCTCATTTCACTTATGTTGAGAATTTAAAGCAAGAAAACATTTTATCTCTCAATCCTCTCTCAGTTTTCAGCCATTACCTTTTCACTCTCTTTGCCAGCCTTTTTTAATATTCCAAAGTACACAATTCACACACTAAGGAGTGGTTTGAGCCCCTTTTTTAAAAAATGTACTTCGAAATAATGTTGTGATGAAAAATATATGATTAAAAAATAAGGAAAAATTTTAAATTTGTATATAATATATTTTATTAAAAATGTATGATTGAAATGATGTTAAATCACTGCTGAAAAATGTACTTTCATAAAAAAATGAGGCTCAAACAAGGACTAAATAACGTTAAAGACATTAAATGTTGCACCCTTTAGATAAGCGTAATATCAAAAATATCATTAACTAAGTCCCCGAGGCATAGCTTAGTAGTACAAAGGACAGAAGTGATGTCATTTCACGCCTTGCTGGCAGTCGCAGTATGAAGATTCGATTCCTGAAATATGAAATTGAATTCCTTGTAGGCACAGTGTATAGCAGCTCTTGTTCCCTAGCCCGCTGAGACACATCTCGCGATTTACCTCCCTCACAAAGTTCTAGGGGCAGGACGGTGGGAACCCTCAAGATTGGGGTTCAACCTTTAAGAATATCATTGACTAAACTATAATTCAGATCCCTTTTAGGTCAACAAATAAAGTGTTTTTCAAACTTGTTAAATTGTGTTACAAAAATGAGATAAATGGTAAAATCGCATAATTAATTGTGCATCTGCAAGGTTTCTGAAAATAACAACAAATACATGAAATATTGTATGCCCCTAGAATCTTCCAAAACAAACTACCAAAACCTTCTCTGATTTCAACCTGCAGAAACTACATCAGCGGTTGATTGGAGTATGCATCCTTTCAACTATTCTATTTACAGCATCACGAGACATTACGAGTGTGTCATGCAGCAAGATGCTGTAAACGTTTAAACCCTGTAAAATAAAACCCATACAGATGATTAATTGTTGAATTAGCACACTACAATCATGTAAAATACGCCAGTCACCGATCAGTGTGGAAGGCCAAGGTTTCAAGAGCAGTTTAAAGAACAGTTTTGAGTGAATAATGTCAGAAACTCATGGACCCAACAGCAATCCTGTGCTTGTTCACTACCACGACTATTCTAAAAGAAAATATTTTAGATGTTACAATTGTTAACTGCTGAATACAGGCAAGAGCTAGGCATATCATCTGTATACATAACTAAGGCCTCTAATATTTAAAAAAAATTATGATTAAACTAAACAGCACTTTAGTATAATTAATCAGTCACTATTAATGGATTATCTTACTACAACACCATTAGTCAGGACAGTGTCAGACCCTCCAATTGCCACCAAAGTGAAGCCAGAATGGAAAGAGAGAGAAAACAGACAAGCCCACACATATGACCTACACAAATGAATACTTAGACATACAGAGTATGATACTTACAATTGAAGGCAGAATGTTTACATAATGTAGATTTTGAGTAGCTAACTTTAGCTTTTCATCAATCAGACCACCATCAACCATAAGAAGTTTCTTGGTATTCTCCATTTGACTGACATGGTTCACAATGTTCTTCGTCTTGTGTGAAGGGAGCTCGAAATCCTCATAAACCATAAGCTGTATATTTGACAGTCTTAATCAGATATAAGTTTGAAATAAAAACCAATTAACATCATTTACAAGAGAATACTTCATAATTATATAATAGATGGCGCTAAAAACTTCTGCCTTCTCTGACGAGAAATTATAGAAATATATTGTAGAACACACAACAAGAGAGTTCACAGTGGAGAAGATAACAGTAAAAGTAACAGGACAAAAATTTATGATCGTAAAAAGCTCTTCTCACATGAGAAATTTCAGGTTGATTATAGAGATGCTAAATATCCAGTGATAAACTTATATAGTGTGTGTTTGCGCCCATTATTTTTGAAGAACATATTTTGGAATAGTAGATTGATGAAGAATGTGTGGTTAAAAAATAAGGAAAAGTTTTAGATTTGCGTGTAATATTATTTTATTGAGGAATATGTGGTTGAAATGATGTTTTAAGAATGTATTTTTTTAAAATAATGGGGCTCAAACAGGGCCATAACATGTTTGGTACACTATTGCATATGACTTGATGATATAATTAAACAAGATTTCAGTTTATCATTTTTTCCTTCCTTAAGATTGTTAAATACTATTCAATCTTCCCACCCAAACATGCCACCATGGTAACAAAACTGGCAAGGATGTTGATGGGGGATGGACAGATTGGCATTTGACTAATTTACTACCCTTGGAATAAATTATTCTCAGGTTTTCTATTAAGCGACATTCAACAAAAATCTCTAACAAGACTGCAACGAAAGATTCAAGGCAAGCCAGAGATCACGAAGATGAACAGTACTACCACCAGCATGTCCAATCATCTAAATTATGGTAAATGTTGTGCATTTATTAAGTGTCATAAAAAAAAAAAAAGGAGCTCCAGATATTATACAGAAGCTTTCCCATATATGACTGACACCTCAAGTCATAATGGTAAGAGTTCAGCCATACACCCAGATATGTAATGCTAGCAGAAATTCATTTAAAGAAACTCATTGGCTTGGACAGAGAACTTCTGTATTAAGATGAGACAGTACAAGCATAACAAAATTTTATGAAACTCATATGTAAGGCCAGGTAATAATCTCAGGTTTCCACAAACAGGAAACATGCATTCCAGCCAAAAAATCTCATCATTATAACAAACATACACCATCCTACATGAATCGCCCACATCTAAGAGAATTATTTCCAGTGCATAATGCATAAACGTAATCCTAGAATATTAGTGACACGAGTTACATCTGTCCATTTCAATTTTTTATTTTCTTTTAGACCCAGGGAGGGAAGATGACTTGCCTTCCCTTCTGCTGCACGAGCTGACAGAGCGATCTTCAGTCCCAACCGCCTCACCTTCTTGTTCAGCTTTATGGCGTGACTTCGTGGTTTTGGACCATGCATAACAGCTCCACCCCTAAACTGTTTACCATTGAGTAAATCTATTAATACTCAATTTGGAGCTTAAATGCATAATAATGCAAACTGTTAGTTTGCATGCCAGACATGACCTGAGGGCCGCGTAGTGTTCCATGCCTTGCTCGACCAGTGCCCTTCTGCTTCCATGGTTTTCTCCCAGTCCCACTGACCTCACTAACAGTTTTTGTTGAATGGGTACCCTGAGGAGCATTCACACAACACAACTCTCAGCTATAATAACAACCAAAATTGGGGAAGAGAATGTAGCAGAGTACCCAGATCCATGTATCAGAAAATAGAAAGCGTGTTCTACTAGAACATGCTAATGGCTTCTAAAAGGTGCATCAATCAATGAAGACGTGACAAAAGATTTATATATTTAATTTCAGAACCATACAATTAGCATGAATTTCACTCAACCAAACAGCTAAAGAATGTCACACCTGCTGCCTTTTAGCAAGCTGCCATCTTACAACACGGTGGATAATATCCTTCCTAATTGGTACATCGAAAACATCACCAGCCAAAACCATTAAGCCCTTGTCTTCCTTGTGGAAGTTTGTAACTGGAATCACCAGATCCTGATAGAGACCTGAGACATCAATACAACAAGATAGTTCAAAAAAATTTTAGTATTGGAACAAGAACTATGTATAATGATTTGAAGTAAATTATATTAATATTCTTCTTTCGTTTCTACTTATCAACTATAGACAAAGGAATTAAAAAATAACAACTAGAATAGTGAAAAAGAAAGTAATCTATATAACTAACTTCCAAAGTAAACATCAATTTACTCTAACCTTCAAAGAAAATATATTAATATACTGCACAGAATAATTAATTAAAAAAATTAGAAGGTAACAGCTATCCCTGCTTTTCTCACTTTTACAACTGTTAGAAAGCAGGAACAAAATACAACAGTAAATTCACAAGGTGCAATACATTGTACATGAAATCTAAAATGCTTGAACTCAAGTACGAGTATTGGATAAGGATACATATTTAAGAGTCGAATCCTTCTTATTTTAGAAATTAAGATATTTGAATACGTTTAAAAATTATTCGAATTTGGGATACGGCTACGTTGATACTTCTTAAAAAATAAAAAATTATAAATAATAACACCACAATTATTTTGTTTTATTGTAATAAAAATATCTATAATTTTATAATTAATAATACTGAATTTGTGATTTTTTATTATTATATATAAAAATTGACATGAATAGAAATAAGAAATTAAAATTTTGGTACACCAAGGAACTCAGATATAAGCATCGGACAACGTTTTGAATAGAATCAATTTATATTTTCATTTACTTATACATAAATTAACTTCAAAAAATGAACTCATAAATTAATTTGTTCATCAACTCTTTCGATAAAATTAATTTAAAAAATTGAATTATAATTTGAAATCAATTTATATTTAAAGCTAAAATAAATTCTTTTCAGAAAAATTAAAGAAAGAAATCAATTCCAATGTATTATTTAAAAACAATTATAGAAATAAATTTAAATTTGATATTAAAAAAGATATAGCAATAATTAGTTTAACTATAAAATAAAAATTCGCACAAATAAAATATAAGAAATATAATTTTTTAATTAAAAAATCCAAATAAAATATGTTTGACCATACAACTTATTTCAATAAAATTTTATTAAATTAATAATTTGATTTACAAAAGTCCATCTCATATAACAGTTCTAAAATTCGGTCCAACCCGCTTCCACCTATTAGGTCATCCGTCGTCTTCCCCCTCTCGTCTTCTCTTCTCTGTTATTTTTTTTTCTACAAAGCCAGATGCACAAATCCAGAAGCACGACTTCTCGACTTCACCATCTTCTCCCGTTTGCCATTGTGTCCGAGTGCAAAATTAAGGATCCGATCCATATTCCATGTCAGTATTCATGTCATGTTGGCACAGAGATTTCTCCATTTTTGGAGAGTCCGAGCATCATAGCATGACATACAAGGTTTATCAGACTAAACTCAATCACAAATGGTTCATTGTTTTATTTTCACAATGTCAAATTCATTTCTTATTGGTTATGATACTTACACTACAGTCTACAGTTTGGGTGACAGGTGCGGTTATGTGTCTAAATGCCAGGTCGCTCAAACCTTACAAATTTAGATACATGGACAAGGCAAAATATTATATTCTCTTTCATTATGTTTATAGCAAAACAATGTCTAAAATAACCAAAAATAAAGTTCAAAATACATTTCCTAATACATGAATAAAAAATATAGAACCATTAATTATCATTAACATACTCTTTATATTGATGTTTACTGCAACTGACCATTCGATAGCCTTCTTAAAAGTGTCAAGTGCCTAAAATGGGTACTTCATGCATATAGTTAACTTTTGTACAATGAATAAAATTGTAAGACTAAAGAAAAAAGTTCTATACCAGTATTACTGACTGTTCTCAACATGACAATATATTACTGAAAGGCATGAGTAAAGCAAAGTTTTTCTATTATCAAATGTAAAAGTGGACTGAAGCACCGAGGACTCTTGGGGCATAAATTTGAATCATGTAAAAGAGAGCACTTAATTGAAGTGAAAATTACATTGTATTTTAAGTCAAACTTCAGATTCATTTATTTAGAAAATTCAGTAATAGCATTACATTACCTAGCCACTAATTTGAGCTAGAGTAATTTAAAACAGGATCGCACAGACTCTAATCCAATTGCAGCAAACAAATATGAACACCATACTAAAAAGTAAAACACAACCAGCATTCATGTGAAAAAGGACACACACACACACACACACACACACACACACACACACACACACACACACACACACACACACACACACACACACACACACACACACACACACACACACACACACACACACACACACACACACACACACACACACACACACACACACACACACACACACACACACACACACACACACACACACACACACACACACACACACACACACACACACACACACACACACACACACAAAATGAAGTGCAAAAATTAAATGTATACTTTGGGCCTTCTGCATATCAAGTTTATAGCATTTTACCAAAGATCCTGTTCTTCTGCACCAAAAAATGTTAATGCCTGTTTTGCTTAGTTCTTAGGGTCTATTAACAATAAAATATTGCATGTTGATTATAAAATATGTACTAATGACCTAGAAATATGGGCAGATTATAATAATTAAACCTCTATTATTTCCTGGAAAATTATAATTAGATGATAACAACTCTAACTGGAAAAGATTCAATATTCTCCTTTTGCCTTGCATTCAACTGCGTTAATCCGACTCTCATACAAGAGAAAATGACAAAAACTCATTTTCCAGAAACAAAAAGGCATTTCCCTAATATCAAGACCTTCAATCATCTAAGTTGTCATCAAGTATGCAAGAACACAGATGCATAAATTGACAAGGATACCGATCTGCAAGATATATAACTGTATAAGGACAGCAAATATAGAACATTTAGCAGCAAATATAGAACTAATGATAAACAATAGGAGCATTATGTCCTCGTACCAATTTTCCGATCAGGAGTCAAAACTTGCTTCCTGGACAACATATCCAAGGGAAATGCACTTTCACTAGAATCTGAGGTCAAAATGGAAGTAAAATACCTTTGTTGTACATCAAAAGATGACTGCACATAAAATATAAAGAATTATTCAGCAATGGACCATAATTACAAAAACATAGAAAAAAGAAACACAATAAATCTTAGTTGTATTTTGAACATAGAAATTATCAATCAATAATCATATTCAATGTGTATAATGTATCTTTCTACCTTTCCAGGAACAGAAGATTGCACTGAAGACAAACTGCCCCCAGAAACATGACCATTCAAACGTACTTCAAATTGCAAAACAAATGAGAAAAATAAATACTATTAGAAATCAAGACAAAAGTTATGCTTTGGTAATAAACTAAAATTTAATTATAAAGTAAAAAACATAAAAAGGAAGATAAAAGTCCTTATATAAAAAATAAAGCAGTAACAAGGAATTATCTCTTAAAAAAGGAAAATTGAGAAAAAAATTGCATACCATTAGAAATATAAAATGATCGAAGTGAAAGACTTAAATAATCACAAGAACCCAAGGCACGAAAAATTCTTCTTGAAACTGACAACGCCATTGCTAATGCCACCGATAATAGATAATATCAAACCCTGAGAAAATACTCCGGCCAAAGTGAAACTGACATTACATACCCCCTTATTGGTTGAGCTTCTGAAAAAGGAAAAAAAAAATGTTACACATTTGAGCTGAAAATATGAGGTCTACATCTACACCATTAAACAATAACTTGGATTTAAATATAAATCAATACAATTTGTTTGAGAGAGAGCAGACGGCGAGAGAATATTAGCTCACCAAAAAGAGAGAGAGATCGAATCGGGAGGAGATGGGGGAATTACGCGAAACGAAACCCTTTCATAGGCACTTCGCAGTGGTCCATAAAATTGAGTTAATTTCACAATTCGTCGCTAAGGTTTGTGAATAACTTTAAATTGATCCTTGAAGTATTATTTTGCCCGATCTATAGTCAATAAACTTAATTAACATTCACATTGGTCGTTAAAGAATCAAGTTTACTCATTTTGTCACTAACTGCAACTAATATTACACCATTGGTCTGCAGTTATGATTTTCAGAATCAGAATCAGAATCAGAATGCAGAATGTTCATATTAAGAGTAGGTTTGCAGTTATCATTCAATGATTTTAGCTAGTATACCTTCATCTTCTCATTGGGCCTTATGTTTGTGGACAGGGGCGGACCCACATGGGGTCATGTGGGATCGAATGACCTCACAATTTTTTGGAATTTATTTTATTTTATTTTATGTTATTTATTATTATTATTTTTATAACCTAACAACTACCCTCTCCAATTGCCAAACTCAGTCTCTCAATAGTAGCTCACACTTGTGAAAAGTCCAAATCAAATCACTATATCCATATCCATATCCATATCCATAATCCCATTCTCATAATCCATTTACTCATTTTTCCAAATCCATAATCCCATTCCCATAATCAATTACTCATTTACCCAAATCAAATCCAACTTATATAATGGGTTCCAATATTCCCAAATCAAATCTCATTTTTTCCAAATTGCCAATTGCCAAATGTGAGTTGTGACTCGTCTTTCTTTTTTCACTAGTCTTTTCCACTTTCCAGTTTTCTCTTCGCCATTGGACCTCCACCGGGCTGTCCCTAAGCGGCTTCAAAATGTCTGGGTCCGCCTCTGTTTGTGGAGAATAGAACTTTGGGTAGTTAAATTTCTGAATGTGCTTAGATTTGTTCCATTATTTGCTTCTAATTTGTTATTCAATGTTTAATTTCTTGATTTCCAGTGGGTTTCAAATATGGTTGAAATATGTACCTGTTGGCTTCAGAAACGATAACGAACCTTTCAAGGTCCCTTTCACATTCTGATAATTAGTAAAATTCCTATTAAAAAGTCAAATTTGGCCACTTTTCAAAATGGCTTAAGAAATTTTAACGATTTGGTTGTTTTTGGTATGGTGTTTGTAGAAAGCAATGCAGAATTTTGCCGAGAAAATGGAGGAAAGATTGTTTCAATCTCAAGGTAGTCCAATCATTCTATCTCAAGTATTTTTTTATTTTTTTTACTGCACATAAAATATAAAGAATTATTCAGCAATGGACCATAATTACAAAAACATAGAAAAAAGAAACACAATAAATCTTAGTTGTATTTTGAACATAGAAATTATCAATCAATAATCATATTCAATGTGTATAATGTATCTTTCTACCTTTCCAGGAACAGAAGATTGCACTGAAGACAAACTGCCCCCAGAAACATGACCATTCAAACCTACTTCAAATTGCAAAACAAATGAGAAAAATAAATACTATTAGAAATCAAGACAAAAGTTATGCTTTGGTAATAAACTAAAATTTAATTATAAAGTAAAAAACATAAAATGGAAGATAAAAGTCCTTATATAAAAAATAAAGCAGTAACAAGGAATTATCTCTTAAAAAAGGAAAATTGAGAAAAAAATTGCATACCATTAGAAATATAAAATGATCGAAGTGAAAGACTTAAATAATCACAAGAACCCAAGGCACGAAAAATTCTTCTTGAAACTGACAACGCCATTGCTAATGCCACCGATAATAGATAATATCAAACCCTGAGAAAATACTCCGGCCAAAGTGAAACTGACATTACATACCCCCTTATTGGTTGAGCTTCTGAAAAAGGAAAAAAAAAATGTTACACATTTGAGCTGAAAATATGAGGTCTACATCTACACCATTAAACAATAACTTGGATTTAAATATAAATCAATACAATTTGTTTGAGAGAGAGCAGACGGCGAGAGAATATTAGCTCACCAAAAAGAGAGAGAGATCGAATCGGGAGGAGATGGGGGAATTACGCGAAACGAAACCCTTTCATAGGCACTTCGCAGTGGTCCATAAAATTGAGTTAATTTCACAATTCGTCGCTAAGGTTTGTGAATAACTTTAAATTGATCCTTGAAGTATTATTTTGCCCGATCTATAGTCAATAAACTTAATTAACATTCACATTGGTCGTTAAAGAATCAAGTTTACTCATTTTGTCACTAACTGCAACTAATATTACACCATTGCTCTGCAGTTATGATTTTCAGAATCAGAATCAGAATCAGAATGCAGAATGCAGAATGTTCATATTAAGAGTAGGTTTGCAGTTATCATTCAATGATTTTAGCTAGTATACCTTCATCTTCTCATTGGGCCTTACGTTTGTGGACAGGGGCGGACCCACATGAGGTCATATGTGATCAAATAACCTCACAATTTTTTGAAATTTATTTTATTTATTATTATTATTTTTATAACCTAACAACTATCCTCTCCAATTGCCAAACTCAATTTCTCAATAGTAGCTCACACTTATGAAAAGTCTAAATCCAATCACTATATCCATATCCATAATCCCATTCCCATAATCCATTTACTCATTTTTCCAAATCCATAATCCCATTCCCATAATCAATTACTCATTTACCCAAATCAAATCCAACTTATATAATGAGTTCCAATATTCCCAAATCAAATCTCATTTTTTCCAAATTGCCAATTGCCAAATGTGAGTTGTGACTCGTCTTTCTTTTTTCACTAGTCTTTTCCAGTTTTCTCTTCGCCATTGGACCTCCACCGGGCTGTCCCTAAGCGGCTTCAAAATGTCTGGGTCCGCCTCTGTTTGTGGAGAATAGAACTTTGGGTAGTTAAATTTCTGAATGTGCTTAGATTTGTTCCATTATTTGCTTCTAATTTGTTATTCAATGTTTAATTTCTTGATTTCCAGTGGGTTTCAAATATGGTTGAAATATGTACCTGTTGGCTTCAGAAACGATAACGAACCTTTCAAGGTCCCTTTCACATTCTGATAATTAGTAAAATTCCTATTAAAAAGTCAAATTTGGCCACTTTTCAAAATGGCTTAAGAAATTTTAACGATTTGGTTGTTTTTGGTATGGTGTTTGTAGAAAGCAATGCAGAATTTTGCCGAGAAAATGGAGGAAAGATTGTTTCAATCTCAAGGTAGTCCAATCATTCTATCTCAAGTATTTTTTTATTTTTTTTAGCTTTATATTATTTATACTTGCTTCATAGCTTTTGATCAAGGCAATATTTTGGGGTCTCATAATTGCTATATTTGTAATAAGAACAAATGGGGAAATTCTGGATCTTTATCAGAGTTGATCAATGTTTTGTTAATCCGAGTTGCCATTTTATCTTGTTATAATTGTGTAGATTGAAAATGTGGACTCATTAGCAAGAAAGGTTCCATGGGATTCTAAGATGGCCTTTAAATTAGGTACCAAGGTTCCATGGATTATGTGTAAGGAAGATGGTGCACTATATCCAATGGTAATATATTTTATACCTATTTTTTGCTTCCAATTACAAAATCGCTTGTGTTGATATTTGCTTGAATCGGTTATAAATTTTCTTTTATCCTCTTAATTTCTTTGAAATTTACAACCATTTCAAATTTTATACAGAAAATTCTGATATTTTTATGTGGGTTGGCATATCTATCGTCGTAATTCAGGTATGTTTTAGAGCATATTATTTATATTCTTTATTTTTTTTATTACTAATGAACATCAATAAAAAAAATTCCATCTACAAAAGTTATTCTTTGAAGGTAAGGAGATCTACTTCCTCCAATGCTCTTCACTACATGTAAAAACAATCAAGTCCCAATGACAACAAAATCAAGTCTCTGAAAAAATGGTTGGACATTTTAAGCTATAATTTAAGATTTCGCATGGTGCCCGTCAACATGGAAAACCATTTTCTGATGCAATAGAGTGCGGATATTGTTATATTGTATATTTTGATGATATTTATTTATTATGATCATAGTATGAATTAGGGGTTGAACTAGGAAATTAAGTTATATATATATAGAAATACATTCCACATATAAAAAAAGCTACTCACAAACTTTTGTATAGGCAAATGTCGGGTCCTAGTATAGGCAAGCCTCCAAATGTTCGTACTAAGAATAAAAAAAATATACAAAGAAAATAGATGAAAAGTAAGTCAATTTTAACCAAATTATGAATACTTTTCACATTTACAAACGATTTTTTCTAAAATTTATGTATACTTATTTTTTATATTGGCCAACCAAGGTGCAAAACATGTTCATCCCACTAGTCCTAAAAAATAACACATACCACATTCTGTAGCCAACAAAGTGTATTTTGACACATTGCCTGTGTTTGGTTGCCATTTTGGTTTTCATTTTTAGAAGAATTCTAACCGTTATGCAATAAAAATGCAGGTGCATTTATTGTCCATCAGAAAAACAGATTTATTTATTTTACCATTTTAACATTTATTTCAAGTTAAGGAGGGGGCATTTTAGGAAATTTCCATGCTGTTGAGTAAAAATAAAAAAAATTGGCTATATATGGGCCCACTTAGTATTTCAACAGGCAAACACTTTCTTAAATTGTGGTGAAAATGGATACCAAACAAGCACATTGTAAGCTGCGCAAGAAAGGCACTGATTCTGCACAAAAATTTGCTTGTCTCCATGTTATGGATGGTCATGAAAGAAGTATTGGCAACCCAAATATAACAAAGAAAACAAAGCAATAAATTTTTCTTGAAGAAATTCTTGTAATTATTTCAGCATTTCTACTCTCCACCCCTTGGCCTCAGCATCAAGTTATGGTGGATCAATCGACAAAAGAGTACAATTTTCTGCACACACACACACTTACTTTGTTTACTCTTTGATCAAATCATCCCTGCAGTAAAAACTTCTAATAAAACAAACATTTGATCCATTTGTACTTAGAAGTTTAACACTTCAAAAGTGATCACTAATACTTACTAGAAGAGAAATGAAATTAAAAGAGATTAAAATGCAACATTGACAAGTACTACAATGTTATATGATAATTTCAAAACTCAGTCATATGAGACCTTAGTTCTACAACTTTTTGGCTCAACGGTTCAAGGAAAATTGAAGTTAATAGTGAAAGATTCACATGGGAAAATTCGGCATCTCTTGTTGCATACAACTGGTGATGATTTTGGTGAAATTTTACTGCATCTCATTTCACCTTGTACATGCACCTTACCATTAGGACTGATTCCATACTACTTCAAACTACTTGTTTCCAGTTAAATACAAGAAAAACTGAGATTGTGTTGTGTATGCACACTAGTGTTCACGATATTATTTGTTCCGATTTAAAATTCACCGTAAGGGTACGGTTCGTTAACAAGTAGTAAAATGGACTATGAGTCCAAGTATCGATCCCACGAGGATTGAATCGGTTCAAATTAACTTATTATGACCTTAATCGAAACACGAAAATCAAATTGATGTTTTGTACTTTAACTAAAAAGATGTAAACTTTGATGCAAGTATGAATGAAAAGTTATACTAAATGCAAAATAACTTGGATGCAATTTAACTCGAGTTTATGGAATTAAAAAATATACTAACGCACCAGGATCACGAATCCCTAAGCAATACCCATTCAATTTTCAATCATGCAAATTTGACACGCAATTCCACAAAAGATGAATCGATATTCCTATTTTAATTTAGCAATCTCTCTCAAACAATGTCAAACATATCTCAATATATGATTCGACTATATTTCTATGATGAATACTAACATACCGAAATGCATTTAAATTCATGAATATCCAATGATTCACACAAGGCATAGAGATATATTTCTATCCCCTATCAGACCCTATGATAATTTATACTATGTTGAACCTATTTTCCTTCTTTCGAATGCATAAAACAAGCCACCACAATCATATAATTATGTGCACAATAATCATATGAAGATAAAAATGTAATAAATCAATCAAATCTGGAACTTGCGTTTAAATATGTCAAAAATCCAAATCAACAATCAAACGTACTATTACGAGGTTCATGATCTCCTAGCAATAATAAATCTAGCCTAACATGCAAAAAAGAAGAAAACACAAAAATATTTGAAGAAACGTCATCACCTGAATCAATCTTCAATTCAATCTTCACTTGGCGCAATGTTGTTCTCTTGTTCTATCCTTCGTTTCTCCTTCAAAATCTCTCAAAAACATGTAAAAATGGCATCCCCTTCATTCTGGTTGAATTTTTGTTTATATAGAACCCTAAAAATATTGTTTCCATAAGAGTTTTGGCGGAAAAAGGAAACAACGATTTTACTCGATCGCATAGAGCAACTCTATGCAATCGCATAGAGTAAAAATGTTGTGGCCTTTTACTTGCGGTATACCTCTATGCGACCGCATAGAGTGTCACATAGTGCTACCAACTATGAAAAAATGTTCATTTTGGTTCTCCCACTTGCATCCTTTACTTCTTGGCATCTTCTTTTCATTCTTTTCATTCCATCATCCCATGGTATCGTTAATTGGCAATTGGCTTAATCAATTTCTCAATTTGTTCATCGGATCAACTTTTGGATAATTGCACCTTGGTCCCTGAACTTTCACTTTGCGTCATTTTAGTCCCTTTTCGCATTTTTCTCCTGAATGTCACCATGTTCATTGATAAGTGTGTTTTTACACATTTAGTTAGCTCACAAACAAGACTTAAATATGGACAAAGTAGTTGAATTGTGACTTAATCTCATTAAATTCATGCAATGTAGGTGTTTCTATGAAAAAGATGGAATTCAGAAGAAAATAGCCGAAAAAGGACCAAAACAGAACAAAGCAATAGTTCGGGGACCAAAGGTGCAAATATTGAAAAGTTGAGCTAAAGTGCAGAGCGAGAATGAAAATATACGAAGTATGAGATTGAGGACGATACAAGACGATCGGAGGAAGAAAGAAGTAATATTGGACTGAATTGAAGAAAAGTGAAAGATGAAGGATTAAATTGCAAATAATCAAAAGATGAGCCGAGCAAGTGATCAAGGAATTGATTGGCCCAAACGTCAATTAGGAGTCAATTTTTGA